GCGTTATAAATAGTCATATGTCAAATTAACGAATATGTAATGTAATGAAACCAATAGCATCTAGTGATACTAGTGTTTAGTTTTATGGGCTATTTTAAAATTGCATATCGTTTATGATGCATGTCCCTTATGCAATATTAGGTCACATCTGCTTTTCTAACGTGAAATTTCTAACATATAATTTAACCGGTCAATCGTATTTCAATGTTCTACAAGAAAATTTTAGAAGTTTTTGGAACCGAACTTTCTAATTGTGATGAATGATTGAGATACCTAAAACGATGACTTTCTCGTGGTCGGGTTTGGGGAAAGGATAGGGAACACCACGTTTGGGAAGGATAACTATAGCACCGTTAACGGTGGCCCGGAGCCAGAGGATGTGAGCGTGCCACCAGAGAGTTCCGCGTTGGCCGGTCAAGGTGTAGTTGTATGTGTAGACTTGACCTGGCTGGATCGGGCACTGAGTAATGTAAGCAGGCCCATCTGCCCATCCCGTTCTCACTTGTCTCACACCGTGCCTGTACTCAGATCGTCCATTAGTCACCAATCAATATTAGCTAGTTTATAATGATGATTCAAATGAAGACTAAGTAGGAGCTTACCAGTGAATGGATACGTTGTACTTGACGTGGTTAACGACTTTGATGAGCAACGTGTCATCTTCTCGTGCGTAGATTGTAGGACCTGGATATCTACCGTTGACGGTCACGATTGGCTTGCTTGAGCATAGTCTTGTAGTGTTTTTCATCACAACCTGCGTTATTTCAGACACAAATATAATCAGTAATAATTACACTGCAAAGGTAAACAGAGGAATGAATACATAAGACAAAAGACGGACCAACACTAATCATAATCATTACCTGACTGTAAGTTGTAACAAAAAATAAAAATGATAATTACATGCTTTATTTTATTTTGTTGTAACAACTTTATATAACCTACTTTTTACATTAAATGATGTGTACACGTAGGAAATTCATGTGTAAAAGCTGAAAAATACCACACGTACAGAAATCGCAAGTAAAGGCTCACAGTATAAAGATAGCATTAAATTTTGTAAACTAAAATCATTATTAGTAAAGTTTTAGTTATAGATTAGCCTGCATGTATGAAAAGTTGCACTATGAAGGCAACAAACAATACGCAAGCATGGATGAACCATGAAACATTCACATGCATATAAGCAAAAATGTCGACTATGCATATATATATATGTCTATGGATAAGTTAGGATATGTGATATGTCATATGCACCAAAAAGCAGAAGATATGTAAATGGAACTGTGTATATATAATCAGACGTACGTTAAACTTGTAATGGCGAACCATGCTCTCCGATGGAGCTGGGAACACGGACATGAAGGTCACAAGAAACAGAAACCAAACCATATGAGACCCCATAGCTCTCTCTCTATCTCTATTCTGTTTCCCTCCTCCTCCTTCTTCTTATGTGTTTTTAGTCTTTTTCTCTCTGTTTTTAAGATGAACGACTGGCCAACGCAAGCTTATAAAGGGGAGAGAGGTGGAGGAAGAGATTTGGAAACCAGAGATGGAGGCAACGTCGTTTTAGGTGGTAGGTCGACCCAAAATCCAATTCTTTGTAATTAAGATTCCCATTCTTACCACAACCAATCTCCCTGACCAAACCCAAAAATATCATATCTTTTTTTTTTTTCCTTTTTATCTTTATATAACATATCAATGGTCAAAACTCTTTTTTGTTTAACAACAACTTACAGTATGTTCAGATTTTTATATTCCTTTTTTAATTAGTTACCAAAAACAAGATATTATGTTTTTTTTTTTAAATGCCAATTTTTGTTTGAACTATGTTGGATTAAAATTTATAAAACCTCTTTTTAAGTAATTATTAAATTAACGTTAACGTATGAATGGATATTTTTATTTTAATCAACATGTGAACTTCATATAATCAATTAGCTTTCTTATATTCCAGTCTCTTAGCTTATGGTTTATTTTCTGATCTTGTTACATGTAAATGATCCGAGTTTGAATCGGGATTATGACACGTGAGTGACTTGGGCATGTACTGCATTAGTTTGTACTTATTTAAAACTTGTTATCTTACTTCAAGGTCTTAGTACGTATTTGTACTTTATGCATATTTTGTAACATAACTGTGATCATATATATAGATATGGAGTATTTAAACAGCTTAAATCCGCACTTCAGTTTGATTTCACTAATTACTCTTCAACAGAAGAAGTCAAAATCATGTTCCCTTGGATTGGATATGAATGAAAGGTTAGATAACCGTACATTATCGATAATATCATCAGCTTCCAGATTGATTGATTTATTTAGTAATATATAGAGAATACGTAACAAGTATTGTCCCGATTTTTTTTTTTTTTTGGTATGAGCTAGTATTGTGTCGATTTGCTTACATAGTTCTATATAAGTATTAAAAAGTTGATATTACGTCCCTTGCTAATTGATATGTGTGGTTTGCGACAATATTATTGACTAATGTGCTTTGTTTAAACTTGACTAATGGGTTATCCAATATTACATATTGCAATATTAATTTCTTATACATTCATGCGAAATTTCATGACCTTCATGTACATAGTTGCATATAATATGCTTGATGAATAATGTAGACTTAAAGTGTTGTCAAACGCGACATTTGAGATATAAACTTCATATCAAGAATGTGTTTTTATTTTGGTGAGACGTATACGTCTGAACTTTGAAGTAGAGTAGTATATAAAAAGACCACATAAACTTTTTGACATTAGTTTCGATAGATGGCCGAATTGTCCATTTTAAGTTCATACATCTTAATTCCTTAGGGTATACATAATACATTTTTCTCCTTCTGCTTCACTCTATTTGAGTATTTTATTTGTGGTACATGAGTATTAACATGGCAAAATCGAACTCGTCTAACCCCAAATCAAACCAAAGAAAGGATCAAAACCATTAACATATTCGGTTTATATATATATATTTGTGGTTCATTCTGTTAAAAATTAAAGTACTTTCATATATAATATATATATATATATATATATGCTCTAAATCTACATACAAACCGGTACACTTATTACTACAAACATAACTACTAGATAGGATATGATCATATGAATTAGTCTCCAGGTAATCTAACTACCGGTTCAAGATATATCTGTATACATGTGTAGCAAATATAAAAATTATATATTAGAAAAATCAATATGTTATAGGTATTTAGACAGTGGATTCGATGGCCACATACGTATTTGTTAAAACTTAAAAGTGTCTTAGAAGCTGTGTGAAGTGAGGTGGAGATTAGAATGCTTAGAAACTAAGACAGTAGAAATAAGAAGTTGAGAAATGGCTTTCATGTCGTTGTAAACAATGACCCCAACAAAGACAGCCTCTTCTTGGGTTTGTTTTAAAGCTAAGGCTACAAATACATACAAAAATGCGTATCAACTTGGACGACACCGTTTTGGTCAGACATGATCTTAAACAGTTTTTATTACATAATTTGGTCAAATTGGTCATTAAGTATGTTTTTGCCGTACGGGAGATGTCTCAGTTAAACCACTTTTAACTCGACAGATGATTTGCTGAACGGTCATGGTTAAAAATGGGTAAAGTGTCAATCACCTCCACTTTGTAGTTAATTTGTTATTGTCATTTTCTCAACAATCTTTGAAAGCAACTCTTCCTTTTAGAGAACACTTAAAGTCCAAAAGACAACAACGTTACAATTGAAGTTCTGGAAACATCAAACGTTAATATCAAAAGTTTTCGTGGATAAAAATATAATTCTCATCAGCTTGGACTAAAAGGTGTGGCCATACCAACTTGAATAACAACTTCAAATTAATCTTGTTAAACTCTTTTACTTTGTTAGTGTGAGATGGGCTAACTAACAGACTTATAGGCCCTTAAAATTAAACGAATGAGCTGGGCCTGACGTAAATTGTGTCTTTCTTTCAATAGAATGACCTCTATAGACAAAACAAGAGTCTTACCATGTTATATCATCAAACGATATAGATAACAACATGTTTAGTAATTGTTAAGGGGTAGAAATCTCTCAAGTCGTGCGAGGAAGTCATCCTAGTGGGATATATATCAAGCAGATGAACATGTAGATGAAATGATATATCATCTTACTTATACCCACAACGACATGGTGTCTTTTCGAATTCATTCTTCATTGGAAACTTTACTTTCTTTAGATTTTATAGGAAACGATATAGATTAACCAACAGACAGGGTTCATAGATAGTCTCTCTCTCTCTTTTCTCATCCATTTGGTGAATTTGCATACTGATCTTTGCTTCTTTTGTCGCTTTGAGTTTCAATTATCTTTCCTCATATAGTCATATCAAAGAGTTTATGATTTAATTTGTTTTCCTTAGGACCTTAACATAACCCCAAGAAAGATATTTATTTTTTTGCACTATGACCTCCAAACAATTTTGGACTCATCCTGCTCCCACGGGATGTTCTTGTCTCCTTAACATTTCCTCTCTTGTTAGTTTCTTGTCTCCTTAACATGTTCCACGGACCCAATACTTAAACTTTTGTTTCTGTTGATGACAAAAGCTTTGAAATTAATAATCCAACATATAGTTATGCTATTTTTTTAGCTGTACATATGATTTGAAAAAGCAGTACTTACAACTTTTTGTTTTGTTTTGCTTCGTCTATCACATTACTGATAAAGCCTTTATTTTTTTCTTTTGTTAAAAGGAGAAACCGAGAAAGAATTGTCGCTTTTTGACTTATGATTTCAAATCTAAAATTTATCAGTAAGGTAAGGAAACCAAATAATAGACAGATTATTTAGTTGAAGCGTTTTGCGAAATTTTCGGATGATCATATTCATATCCTCCAAGAATTTAGATGTATTGTCGTCTTAAAGCTAATTCAAAACCGAACCTTCTTTTGTCCATGAGTTGCTCCTGATTTAAACTATTGTAGTATATTCAAATCTCACATGTCATCATTGCTTTTTCCATTTTCTCAAAAACACATGAAACTCCAATCATATTATACTATTAACTGAAACTTCTGTATACATCCATTACCAAGATGATTGAGCAACTATATGTATCCCAACACACGTATCAGACTGAAGAAAACTGAAAATCTTTGAACATGTTTTGTCAAATACAACTTCGCCACACTTATTCCCAACTACATCTAAAAAATGACTCGAGTCCATTACAATGCTGTCAGTAAAAGTTCATAACATTTCTACTACCAAATGGTTGAGAAGCCGGAACAGGTCGGTTCGTCGATGCTGTTGAATTGCTGCTTCCTCGCCGCCTTCCTTTACTCTGCGTCAAGTAAAACTTGAACATTTCATTCTCAATCTTACTAACCTTCTTCTTCCCACTAGCATATCCGTCCACACTATTCCTTTGAAACCCTCCTCCATTGGTACCGGAACTTCTCCAACTCACACTACTATTGCTCCTAATCATCTTCGGATCAAACCCTTTTCTCGTTTCTACATTCCACGACCCTGAAAACGTTCTATCCACACCACTTCTTCCTTCTTGTTCTTCGAATTTGTTCCCATTTTTCCGATGAAGCAGCCCGAATATGTTCCAACTCCATCGAGATTTCTTTGTCCCCTTCTTGTTGCATTCCATAGTCCCTACATTTTCTCGGACACCCATCTCAGAGTTCTCAACAGAGCAATCGTCTCTCAGTGAATGTGAAATCGAGTCTTTGGCGTTTGAAGCAGACAGTTTCATTTCATCTATTTCAGCCACAACAGAGGCTGATAACTTCCTGGTGGAGCTACAACGATCAAGACTCTTCCTCCGTCGTGAAGATGAGTCGAAGTAGTACTCTCGGGTCTGTGCAGATCCACCAGGAACAATCTCATCCACTACATGTCCTGGTACTAGTGATGGAGAAGGCGGTGGCTTTTCCACCGGGATGTGCGTATCTGACCGGAGAACATGATTCCTCACCGGAGAATCTTCAACTACAGACAACATCGAAGTCATTCGCGGCGGAGCACCCGTTCTTCCGATGAAATATCCATCCCAAGAAGCACGTGGCTCATCAAACGAGTAACGAGGGTCGTCCACCGAAACCCTACCGGCGTCAAGCGAGAATCTTCCGGCGTCAATTGAGAACCTTGGATCTGTATCACACGATCTTCTCCCGTAACCATACTCAGCGATTTCAGACTGAGTATCTCTAAGCTGCCTCCCAATTGACTTCTCCACCGGTAACGCGGCGGATCCGGCACCGAGATTGCCGGTTCTATGCTTCTTAAGCTTCTGCCTTTGTCGCCATTTCTGCAGTTTCTTGCTGAACACTGACGCCGCTGACCAGAAACTCCCAGCAATCTCTTTGAAATCTCTGTTTGGCTTCTTCGTCGTCTGAGGATTAAACTCCATTTCAAAGTCCTTCACTTTCTCAATCTCCTCTTCTTCAATTTCTTCTTCTTCTTCTTCTTCTTCGACGATTTCGTCGATTACGCTTCTGGGTTCCTTCAGATTCCCACAAGTAATGTCCTTAACTATTTCAATTTCAGTTTCGTCCTCGAAAAGAGGCGACTTTATTACGGAATTGATGTTTTCGAGATTAATCTCACTTAAACCCTCTTTGGTTTGAGAATCATTATGCTCGACGTCTTCGTGAAACAGAGACCAAAGAGTGTTCCTAACCCTAACATCACAGGATCTTCTCTGTGGCTCAAACGCACCCAAAGTTAAAGCTTCGGCCTTTGTCGCCGAGAACGACTTCGTCCTCCGAAGTTCCTGAAACAACAAACCAGAGGAGGAGGAAGAGGGTCTGAAGATAGCCTTGAGAGCGGCGGAAGACGACGGCGGTTTCCTTGAAGAAGACGCGATGGAGATGTTCTTTCCGGTGGTGATGTCTAGACCAGAGAGACGGTCGAAGAGACAAGAAGGGCAAAATCCGGTGAAACGCTCATCCGGGTGACGATCACAAGAAGTAGAAGGACGGTGAGGCTGCGGCGGATGTGGCGGCGGAGCTAGAGCTAAGGCTGACGCAGACGCTGCAACTGGGTTGTTGTTGTTGTTGTTTGCGGGATTATTCATAACCATAACCACCCGTGGCTCATATCGGTATACGTAGATGAGAGAAGAGCTTCTTCAGAAGTAAAAAAAACGTCGATTGATCGAGAGAGAGTGAGCTGAAGAGAGCCGTTTGGGTTCCTTAACGGATAGTGACAGAGGAAAGAGAAAATAAAGAGGGTGGATTATGGAGTTTATAAAAGAAAGGGGAGTGAAGTTAGAATAAAGAGAAAAGATTAGGGGTCACTTTAAAAATAAATCATTATCGCCAGTTCCGTTGTAAAACTTTTTAGCAGTGAGTGAGCGAGTCGTACTAACACAAGACACTACTACTACTACTACAGAACAAGGCAAGTCTAGGGGATCTCGCTTGTTAAATGACTGTTACGCCCCTAAATTTACTTCTACACTACCTAAGAAATGTAAGACCATCTTTGTTTCTTTTGTGTGTTTACGATCTTTGAAGGGACAAAGCCATTTTGTCTGTCAACTCAAAATTTCGAGTTTTCACACTTGTTATTTTTATGATTATTTCGAATTTTAAGCTATCTTGTGTTTTCAAATTAATGGATTCATAAACTTAGCTGTAACCATCTAAGAAAGCAGACCGTCTTTGTTGTACTTCAAGCATTTGTGTTTTGGCTACTGTTTCTCTCTTAGATTCGTCCTTGTCGAGAAGAAATAGATATCATTTGTAAGCAGTAGAGTTGATATATTTTTATACGTTGTTCGATATATCTTTATGTTCAATCCATGTTCCGGCTGGTCTACATTGTAATTCCATGATCCTATATATATCTTGGCATAGTAAGGCTAGCGTCATGTATGTATATGGGTTAGTATGTTGTTTTGTATGAATGGAATGGAATACTCGTAATTTCGGTTAGCAAAACACATTTTCAAGAAGATATATTTGAAGGTTTTATTTTAATTTTACTTTGGGGAAAAAAACATGAATAGTTTTTATACTTTAAGGGGGAAAAAAATGCAAAAGTCAGGTAATATGTATATAGCTTGAGGATGTTTCTGCCATTACTTTGTTCACTTTATAATCACATTTCGCTTTCTTTGTTTTTCCTTTTCTGTCTTTCTCTTTAAATATATTTGTTTTTCTGCCTTTCCACTTTCAATTTTGTTTTAGCTTTTTCTTGTTCAATTGCTCTTTTTGTTTTCACTACCTTTTGCCTTTTGAGCTAGAGAACACATCAAATAATGCATGTTTAAATAAGATGTGTTTTAATTATATGAAACGTACTTTGAAACATTTTCTAATGTTTCATGCACAATCACATTCGTATCTTCGTTGAAGTTCTATTAAATTCACACACGTGAATAGTATCATCTTATATTACAAAACAATGAGCAACCACGTAGCTTTACGATTTAAAATTTTTGAAAACAGAAAAAGAAAATAGAAAAAAATAATAATAGAGAACATGAACAAGGGCGTTGGGTAAGCACCGACGGCGCACGAGGGGGAGTGATGAAGATTGAAGAGAGTTCCCGACGTCGGTAAGTCACGAGTTTAACCAGACTCGTGTAAACTCCGGTTCCTTTTTTTTTTTCTGGTTTTCTCACTTAATTAGCACACGTGTCTCTGATCCATTATTGGGCTTATCTTCGATCTATTTGTTTTTATAAGAAAAATGTTCATCAGTTGTTCCTTCGTACGTAGGTTTTATAGTTTTTTTTAAAGAATAGGTTCACTCTTCTTTTTTAGGTGTTGTAGGAGTTTTAATGGAGTTTTGGAATCTTTCATTAACTTAGGAACGAATTTAAAACACGTTAGAGGTAGTGTGTGGTGACCTGACCCCTGCCATGTTGTGAACTAGTCGTAGCATGCATTACCACTTTTATGATTTTAAAATAAGTATAGCCCCTAATTATGAAGTTTATATAGATTGGAGAGAAACACGAGCTTATAGTTTATAGCCAGTTTAGGCCATCTCATGATCTCATCACTACGTACAAACTATTCATATACTTAAGTGGAAATCCTTTTATATTTTACCATCTATCCACATCACATGGCAATGTGACATCATGTGTGATTGTATGAATACGACTACAAAGTCTATATGTAACCTGTCTCCAAATATGTTTTAAAGGAAGTATATATTGTAAACTGGTTGTTTTGACGAAATATTCTTATTTTGGGAAAAGAATAATAATCTTTGTTTGGTTTTTGAGATAATAACGGAAGTTGTAAGCCATGCATTATGCATATATACATTGCATAGTAATGAAAGTTCATAATATTAGTTACATTATTCTAATTGCCGACAAAAAAAAAAAGTTACATTATTCTAAATTTGCATATTTATGAAATCACGTCGTAATAGTAAAATCACCAGTGGATGATGATCTCTGTAGAAGTAACCAAAAAAAAAAAAAAAAACTCGGTTACTTACTACTATAATAGCGTAATTAAGAATTCTAGCTGCTTAAATTAAACTCCTTACACGATTGAATGTCACATTATTTTATAAAGTACTTTTAAATCGAAACTTAAAATATTTTCTTTCATGGTATCAGCCTCAGATAATAAACTAATAAGACGTGAAAAACTCTTGGACTCTTGGTGATTTCTATTAGGATAAGGCATGATGCTTTGTCTGAAACTCAGGCGCTCATGAATATAAATGTGATTGCGATTTAAATATAGTAACGATACAATTTGGATGTGATATGAAGGGAACAAAAGTTTGCTACTGTATTTATTTTTCTTTCCCATTTTGGACCACTTTTAAATAAAAGTTTGAGTTACGTCGTTCATAATTTCGTAAGTAAAAGAACGCTTTTGTTTTTCTTGTTTTTTTTTTTTTTCATTTAACTATATATAGTTTTCATTACTTTTATTCACACATCATACTATGCTCCAAAGTATTTATTTTACCTCTTCACAGTAGATTTAGACATATGGTGAATAGCTCGTTGACTTATTCACGTAGACACTAGACAGCGATTGTATTGACTTATCACTTATGCAGTAGTATTTTCACTTACATACACTTGATCGATCAAAATAAGACAAATCCGAAGCAAATATTTTAAGAACAAATGTTGCTTCAATTAAGGAGTTTATCAACTTGGTATTGATGATAAAAGATCAAATATTCAAATTCTACTACTAACCCAAGCCAGAATTTTTATTTTTATTTTTTTGAGAAATCTTTGTCAAAAAAGATTTTAGAACTCTCCTTTTTTCCTTCATACTTGCATACCTTGTACAATATTAACACACAATACAAACTTATAGTGACTTTTTCTAGTAGAGAAACCTTAGAGCATCATCAATGCAAGAATATTAAAAATTGATATTATGATTTGTTTAATAATTTAATTGAAAATTGAGTCTCTTCCACCCATATTTTGTTCTTATATAACATACCATATCTTAGGTTTTAAGTGTATTTTTGATTTTTATTTAATGCTAAATTAACATAAGAATACTCTAAAAGCTCTGCACTGAGGATGGTCTTAGCACACTAGGTTAATTATTGACCTTCACGTAAATTTCTTGCTAGCAAAGAAGTTTAACAACTTAGACTCTAACTAACACTTCTAAGTTTTCTTCATCTAACTAAGGTTTTCCGACCACTTCCTTGAGTTACAGTATCATATATAGGCAAAAACACACTTCAACAATTGGGCCTTAAAAAAACTTAATCGGCCCACAAGACAAAACACAAACCCCACTTCTATTTGTTAACTTGTCTTCTTCTTCTTCCAACATCTCTCACATGCGACCTAGTACGACCACTTCCTCTAATTTTTCCAATCTTCTTGTTCTTTCACCATCTTCTCATTATTATTATTTGTCTCTAATCATCTTCTCCTGTCTTTGTTCTTCTTTTTCACATCATTATTGGAATGAAAGTTTGTTATTTCTTAAAATAATAACTGATGGGGATGGCGGCAACACCGTTGGTAATACCTTTGCAACATTCTTCATCTTTATTGAGTTTCCGTCGGAATCCACTCTTGACCAAGATATCCCTTCCACGGATCGGTTTCGGACCCCGGGAAAGTCATATCCAATGCGATAATATACGTTCTGCGTGGAACGCGTCTCAGAGCAATGGGAAAAGAAGAAGTGAGTTGGTGGTGGCGGCGGCGGGAAAGAAAAGAAACAAATCGCCGGAAAGATGCGCGGCGGAAGGAATACTGATCGAAGGAGGAGAGACGGAGGCGGTACCGATGATGCCTGAAAGGATCAAAGTAGTGATCTTGATGGCGTGCATGATGTGTTTGTGTAACGCCGACCGAGTTGTTATGTCAGTGGCGGTGGTTCCACTTGCCGAGAAGCTTGCCTGGTCGAGTTATTTCTTAGGGGTAGTTCAGGTACTTTCTTAATCTCCTAAATATTCATTTTTTGTTTATGTTTGTTTATTCATTAGCTCTCCTCTAATTACATTCTTGATCCGCGTATCTTTGAAGTAATCAACTTTACATGCGGACGAAGATTTCAAGATTTATTACGGATTTAAGTCTTTCGTAAATTCCGTAATTGTATTTATAAACTTACTTAAAAAAAAGAATATCGGGTGATTAAGGAATATGTAAGGTGTTTGCATAATTACTTTATTAGAAATAAAAATATTTGATATTGGAGTGGTTGTTGAGAAAAAATAGTAGGTGTGGATTGGTTTCAGTCTTCACCTTATTGCGTGTATGTCAAACTTATCACCGAATCCTACGTTTATGTTGTGGCGGCCGTGTGGTCACATTGGATTGTCCCCTTTTTAAAAATATATTTGTTTCAGATGTTTTGTGTGGCTTTAAAGCTAAAAACAAAATCCAATCCCTCAGCATTTTGGAGAAATTAAATTCCAATACTTAATTTTTGAGTCGTTAATTATTAGCTAGATTAAAAATTTCTCGTATATAGACTATTTGATAAGTACCACTTAACATTGTTTGGCTAGCTGCTAACTCTATATGGTGGTTTTAGTAAAACGTACTATGGATTGAAACTTTTAATTTTATTTTGCAGTCCTCCTTCCTATGGGGTTACATATTTTCATCAGTCATTGGAGGAGCACTAGTGGATCGGTATGGAGGAAAAATTGTATTGGCTTTTGGTGTAGCATTGTGGTCCTTAGCCACTCTACTCACTCCTTGGGCAGCTGCACACTCGACCTTAGCCTTATTGTGTGTCCGAGCTTTTTTTGGCCTAGCTCAAGGCGTTGCATTGCCCTCTATGACCACCATTCTCTCTCGGTGATTAATTCCTTTATATTCAATATCATACATTTTGAAAAACTGAAAACTATGTGAAACTTGATTGTGGAGTAGAATATCACATGCATGCATGTAAACACATCATATACGTAGAAATTGGTGTTTGAAACTATCACAACTTAACTTGTATGCATAACGTCAAGGTGTACTGTTCAGGTGGTTCCCAACGGATGAAAGAGCGAGTGCGGTTGGTATATCGATGGCCGGGTTTCACATGGGTAATGTCGCGGGACTTCTGTTGGCGCCACTCTTGTTATCTTCTATAGGAATCTCTGGTCCGTTCGTTCTTTTTGCATCCTTAGGTCTATTGTGGGTGTCAACTTGGTCAACCGGCATTACTAACAACCCACAAGACAGTCCTTACATCACCGGGTCAGAACTCAGGCTTATCCAGGCTGGAAAACCGGTTGACCCGCCGACCAATTCTACAAATTCAAACCCACCTTTGCGAATTCTTTTCTCGAAAATGCCCACTTGGGCGATCATTTTCGCTAATGTGACTAATAACTGGGTGAGCTTGAGTTTTGATCTTTGGACGTAAGAGCAATGCCTTATCTTCTTGTCGTAAACTCACACGGTTTCCGTTAGTTGTTGTTACCAGGGATACTTTGTTCTTCTCTCATGGATGCCTGTTTACTTCCAAACCGTAAGTAGAGATTGTTTCCTGTTTCGGTTTAGTTAAGAACTAAAAATATGATGCTTTATATCGATGTCTCTTGTTCGATCCACAGGTGTTTAATGTGAATTTGAAGCAAGCCGCTTGGTTCAGCGCAGTTCCATGGGCGACAATGGCAGTGACAAGTTACTATGCAGGCGCAGCATCAGACTTCTTGATCAGAACTGGTTACTCTGTAACCTTTGTTCGGAAGGTCATGCAGGTATACTTAACAAAAGCCAAAAAAACAAAAAAAGATTAAGTTTCTCATATTTTAACGGGAACTAAAGTCCCGGCTTTAAAATTGTACCAGTCTATCGGATTTATGGGTCCAGGGTTGTCTTTGCTCTGCCTCAACTACGCAAAGACGCCTTCTTGTGCAGCGGTTTTCATGACCATTGCGTTGAGCTTGAGTTCCTTTAGCCAAGCTGGGTTTCTCCTAAATATGCAAGTACGTTAATTATAAACCCTTTATAAAACCATTCATGCCAAGCTTGAGTTTGATCAGTAACCTAACCATTTTGGGATAGTCTTGAATCTCTCACAACATTGTTTGGTTTCTCATCGTGGAAACAGGACATCGCACCGCAATATGCTGGTTTCTTGCACGGTAAAAATTGTTCAACATACATATATTGGATCCATTTTATTCTAGTTGTTTTTGCGATATTGTTTCTTGCTGAAAAAGTTAGGGGTGTGTGTTTGTAATTTTGGTGTGGGAGACAGGTGTTTCGAATTGTATAGGCACGTTGGCAGCGATCGTAAGTACAATAGGGACGGGATATTTCGTGCAATGGCTCGGCTCATTTCAGGCGTTTTTGACATTAACGGCGTGCCTTTACTTTGTCACCACCGTGTTTTGGCTCATTTTTGCAACCGGAGAACGAATTTTCTAGATCCAAAAAAAAAGCTTTCCTTTTTTTTTATATATATTTTTTTTACACGTTTAGATCTTCTAAATAGGATACTACCTACCACCTGTACATTATTTTCGTGCATGCTTCCCCAACGCCAACTGAGCTATAAATTCAGTTTTGTTCAAATGGTTCTTTTGTCTTTGCCCCCAATGTCCGCATAAGCAATACGTGGCGAGTCGACATCACGTTTTGTGGTCAACAGTGGCTTCGAAATTCTGAACTTCATTACACATTTTGACTTTACTATAGTATACGTTTTAGGAAATGTATCAGGTCATTTGTAACATATGTTGTTAAGAGCATAGATTATCATTAGAAAACATCGTGATATTTTGCTAAAAAAAATAGCAAATCTAACATTTGTAAAAAGATTCACCCAAATCTCTCATATTTTGGCTATTTCTTCAAAGTATTCCATTTTTAATAAATTTTTTTAGTCAAGTTAAAGTAAAATGGAATAAAAAAAAAATAATATAACCTTTTTTTTATTGTGTTTCATCACTCCTTGTTGAGATGTATATTCATCATCGTCACTCACCAACTCCTGTATATGTCATACATGACTCCGCCCGTAGAGATCTGATCTTTTCCCCAATTCAAAATCCATCAAAATGGAAGAAATCGCCGATCAAACACTCTTCCGGTACTGTCTCCTCACTCTAATATTATCCGGTCCACCAACCGCCGTCGCTCTCAAATTCCTCCAAGCTCCTTACGGCAAACACAACCGTACCGGATGGGGTCCGTCTATATCTCCGCCGATTGCTTGGTTCCTCATGGAGAGTCCGACTCTATGGCTCACTCTCCTTCTCTTCCCCTTTGGTCGTCACGCCCTCAATCCTAAATCACTCATCCTCTTCTCTCCTTATCTCATCCATTACTTCCACCGCACTATTGTTTACCCTCTTCGTCTACTCCGCAGCTCCTCCTCTGGAAAAAGTAGTTTCCCGATCAGTATCGCCGCCATGGCTTTCACCTTTAATTTACTCAACGCTTATATTCAGGTACCGGTCTAAGCTTATTCCGGTTTGGTTCGATTGTTTCGGTTTAGTAAAATTGTACTCATGATTCTGAACAGGCGAGGTGGGTTTCTCACTACAAGAACGACTACGAAGATGGACTGCGGTTCTGGTGGCGGTTTATTATCGGTCTGGTTGTTTTTGTAGCCGGTATGTGGATTAATATCACGTCGGACCGGACTTTGGTTAGATTGAAGAAAGAGAACCGGGGAGGTTATGTGATACCGAGAGGAGGCTGGTTCGAACTTGTAAGCTGTCCGAATTATTTAGGAGAGGTGGTAGAGTGGTTGGGCTGGGCAGTTATGACTTGGTCATGGGCCGGGATTGGTTTTTTTCTGTACACTTGTTGCAATTTGATCCCTCGCGCACGTGCGAGTCACAAGTGGTACATTAACAAGTTCAAGGATGAATATCCCAAGACCCGAAAAGCTGTTATTCCTTTTGTGTTCTAGTCTCAACTTTTTTTTTCTTTAGTGAATTTTGGTTCCAAACTTTTCAGTAATTTGTTTTTTTTATAGATCTTATGTTTGGTATTATTCAACACAACAGTTCAAAAAACTGTTTATTATTTAGACAAATCTATAAATATTAAAAGGTTTGAGCACATGAGGAGGGAAAAGTGTTACGTATGTCAAGTGAGACTTAAAAGACAAAACTAATGTTCTAACGAAAGAAGACATAACAAATACAGAAATGAATCAAAAGAGAAAAGTCAAACAGCAAACGCTTGATCCAATCCAGAAATCATGTTCCAGAAGCTAAACTAGAGAAAGCAAGGCTTTTTTGAGTTGCTGTTCCTCCACTAGAGTTTATATCTGTTTTCTCTTTGCTTCAGATCGTGGAGGATATAGCCTCTTTACCAGGGAAATTTGAAAGAGCTTCAAGATCCTGCGAGTTTGTGTCTTTGTGTTAGTTAGCATTTGGTTGTGTCTGTCAATGAATTCAAAAGACGGTGTTTGGATCAGATCTTTGACTTACAAACAAAATGTCTTTTTTCGTGCTTTAGGCGAAGCTGGGGTTAACCATCTCCGATTTTCCGGATTCTGAACTATCTTCGTCGTCGTCGTCGTCATCTTCCTTCACACTACCGTCTGATTCCTCTGCCGCTAGTTCACGTGCAGCTGCAAGCTCCTTCTCGAGCTCCTCTTGCTTTTGCTGCAATCCCGACATACTCAGAGTCTCTGCGATCTTCTGCTTTATCTGTTGCTCAAGTGCCTCGATCTTCTGACTTGCCTCGGTAACACCAGGGGTTTGGCTCACCTTTGCGGTTTCTACTTTCAGCAACTCGATCATACTCTTGATCTCTGGTGTCCTCACCACCTCCGCAATCTTCTCCGTGATTTCTTGGTTCAGCTTTTCAAATTTTTCTTGAAGATTTTCGGATGGAGCATAGGTCTGCTCAGCCACATCCCTCAGATTCGGTTTCATAGCTTCCAGCTCCAGACCCATTGACTTAAACACACCTGCCATCTCTGCTTCAACCTCCGCTTTCGTCTTCAAAACTTTTTCTTTTAGTTCATCTGGTAACTCTTCAAAAGATGAAGCTCCTGAGCTCGCAACCTCAGCTTTGATCGCCTCAACCTTTTCTCTGATTTCAGGGCGGTCTACAGCTTCCTGGAACCGCTTATTGATCTCCTTTTTCAGTGAAGTAGCTTCTGATGCTGCCTTGGCTCTGGAAAAGTCCCTCAGCATGTTCAGCTTAGATTTTAGGCTCTCGTAGTTAGGCGCGTCGGTCAAACGGGTATTGAACTCTTCCTTAAGCTTCTCAATTTTCTCGATTAGAACCGGGTGCATAAGATGCTCCTCTGAACTCGCTTTCGAGAACTCTTCGCGCATTGCCGTTAGTCTCTCCTCCAAACCTACTGCTCTTGCAGCTTCAGTGTACTCGTCATCTATCTCGGATTTGAGTTTCTCAATCATTTCATTAAGAATTTCACTCGAAGGCTCTTCCTCGGAAGATGTCTCCTTGGCTTTCAGAATCTGCTCCTTCAGCTTGTCTACCTCGCCCTGCAGCTTCCGGCTATCTGAAAACACGGCTTCCCTCTTCTTCATGTTGATTTTCCTACTTGGCTCTATTGGTTCACCCTCTATGAACACTCCAATCTTTCGGTATTTAGCCATCCTGTGCTTCAGCAGCTCATCCCCACTCATTTTTCCAAATTCCTACAAAATGCCCAGAAAAAGCTTAGATTTTCTTTCTATCTACGTCCAGCATTGAGACAAATAATTATGCCTACATTCATGTTTTCGTTGATAGCAATCTTTATCTGCTGCGACGTCCATGACGGATCAGCATGGGCACCACCAAGCGGTTCCTATACAGCATGTAAGAGAGTAACTCAATGATCCAAAGCGACAAAGGAGGTGTAAGAGGCAAAAAAAAATAAAGTAAAGGTAGAATCAGTTACAGGAATGATTCCATCGGCTACATTAAGCTTGACCAGTTCCTTGGAGGTAATTCTAAGCTTCTCAGCAGCCTGCGTACAAGAGTTTCATTTTGTAACTCTAAATTCTACATGATCACTTAAATCGAGTAGCAGAAAAGTGTACAGACCTCAGGAGCAGCCTTGGAAGTCTTCCACAAGATCGCTGCACAGGCCTCTGGACTGAGAAAAGCAAAATAACAGACGTGATAAATCAATCTGTAGATATATGTATGATAATGATATCATCATATCTCATCGCGGGAAAATTTTACCTGGCAACATAGAAAACTGCATTTTCGAGCATCAACATTTTATTCGCACAGCCAATGGCTAGGGCACCACCAGAACCACCTTCCCCGATGACAATAGAAAGAATCGGCACTTTCAGGCCAAACATTGTCCTCAGATTGTTGGCAATCGCTTCACCCTATTATACAGATAAGCAAAAAATGTTATGCTGAGGATAAACCAGTACACTTCAAACAGAAATTATGTTTCTTGTACCTGTCCAAGTTCCTCGGATTTGAGGTCTGCATAGGCTCCAGGAGTGTCGATAAATGTCACGATCGGAAAACCGTGATGGTCTGCATAATACATCATCCGAAGTGCTTTCCTATATCTGTTGTAGACATTACAGCAATTTGATAAGAGGGTTGTTGACTCTGAATGTTTCTATTTATCTACAAACTAGGAAGCTCCTTGCGAAAACATACCCGTGAGGAGTAGGCATACCAAAGTTACGCATTATATTTTCTTTGGTGTTTCTACCTTTCTGGTGACCTATGAACATATATCGTTTTCCATCTATGGTTCCAATACCCGTCACAATTGCAGGGTCATCATACCCCGCTCGGTCTCCATGAAGCTCCATAAACTGAAAAAAGAACAAAGAGTCCAAAGATGAAAAAAAGAAAAAAAATTATCCCCCATGCATGACAAAAAAGCCTTACTAATGAGAGACCAGACCTTGTCAGTGATGTTATGTATATGATCAAGGAAAGTAGGCCGGTTCGGATGGCGCGCAATGTTCACACGTTGTATCGGAGTGAGATGAGTGTAAAGGTCTTTCAGTGCCTGAGATTAAAACAATGGGCTCAGTAAGATGTCGTTCCCAAACAAATTGTATATACATTAACGACAGATCTGAACGGTGGGTCTCTTTTAACCATACAATGGAGAACCAACCTATAATTTTCATTTTTACCTGTCTATACTTGTTCTCCAAAGTGATAATCTGCTCAGTGAAGTCCAATCCAGTTTCATTCGCCATCTTCCTCACCTGCATCACAAGGACCAAAAATGTCAAAGAGATAACTACACTCCCCACAAGTGACATGGGAATCCAAATTAAGATGCAAACACATGATTAGTATTCTCTCATTCGTACATCGACAATCTTCTTCTCCAATTCGACTAGTGGCTTCTCGAAATCCAAAGTGACAGGCTTCTGACTATCCCCCAAAGGCTTGAACTCAGAAAGGTACGACAAGACTCCTCCTTTCACATTGGGGTCAGGATTTGCAGGCCATGGATGCTCAAATTTCTTACCTTTCTTGAGCCGAGCTGTCACCGCCAAGCCCTTTCTTCTGGTGGTAGTAAACACCGCTCTTCCTAGAGTTTTCAATGGCACCCCATTAACACCATTGGTCGAACTACGCAAGTAATCCGAAGCACAAGCAGAAGAAGCTCCGCCTAATGCTAGTGATGAATGAGACATTGAAGCCATTCCTTGTTCCCGATAGCTGAGGTTGATATCTTCAAATTGATTGAATGGATCCACTCCAAACAGATCTCAATCCTCTAAATAACCAAAACCAAAGACCAGAATCAATCAGCGGAAAATAAAAAGCAATCATTGATCACTGAATCGACAAAGAGATTAAATCAAATGGGTCAGATTCGTTCCACTGCTCCATTTTGAGTCTCGTAAACAAACAAGCAAATAAACTCAAACCCATCAAGAACAAAACAAACCAACCCCAGCTCAAATAATCAAACTTTACCTCAAAACACGATGGAAAAATCAGAGATCCAAGACAAATAGGGGGCAGAATCAGAAGAGAATGAAGGAGGAAGGAAGAGAAAGCATCGAAGAGATCGTCGTTTTTGAAAATTGAAGGAAGGTGAACAAGTGTTATGCGAGTGAGTGAGCGCGTGGATTTTGTGTGGAAGTGTTTCGATATTTCTTATGCAGATTGGGAAAAAACACACACACAGCTTGGGTCCTTTGTTGCCAATTGCCAGAATTTTCCGGTTGGTCGTTAAACCATAAAGCTCAGGCTTTGCTCTCTCGCACGTGCCCACGTGACACCTCCTACGTGTGAGATTTGATACCTATCACTTATATTTGTTTGCATTTTTATAAACGAAAACTATAGGTTTTGGATATGTTCCGGTGGATTTGGTGGGGTTAGGTTATGTAGCCGGTGACGTTTTTATTGGACTAGTTCTTTTGGCAAATTAATCAGACAGCCTACAAAAACAAAACAAAAAACACTCCGTTGCCGGGACTCGAACCCGGGTCTCTCGGGTGAGAGCCGAGTATCCTGACCAGCTAGACTACAACGGATTTGTGATTGTTTTGATTCACTATACTATTTATCCTACAGAAACTTCCATAGCTACACTTTTGCTCTTCTTCTCTTCTTCAAGTCCAAATTCGAATTCCCCTTATCTCCCTTGCGCTAGAGATTACCATGGAGCTCAAACCTTCCAACAGTAATTACTTCATTTCTCTGCTCGGTTATACAAAGCCTTTGTCCAACACAATCACCAATTTCTGGGATTTTTTTGTCGCAGATTACATTCTTGAGCAGCTGAGAAATGGGTTCGCTCGGTTCGAGCTTGTTGCTTCCCCTACTGCTTCTGTTTCAGATACAATCTACTCCACTTCCCTCCCTGCTTCGTTCTTGAGCGCCACGAAGGGAAATAGCTATGTATTCTTCGCCAGAATCGGTTCCTCCATGTATGTTTTGTTGTTGTTGTTAATCAGCTCTTAAACCATTGAATTAAAAATCGAGTCTTTCTTAAAACCCTTTACCCTAATCAGCGAATTTTTCCTGTTTTCATGTCTAGGAATCGGTCTCCTGCAGCGAAAAAGGTTGAGCAGTACGCTGTGGATAGAGTTAAAGGGGATGGACGATGTCTGTTTCGAGCATTGGTATTGTAGTTTCTGCTTTTTCTGTTCTAACTTCTATGTGTTCTTACTGAGGTGTCCTGAAGAAATGATGTGATGTTTCAATGTAAATTAGGTGAAAGGGATGGCCTATAACAAAGGTGTCACTCTCAACCCCCGACGAGAGAGAGATGATGCAGGTGACTATAAATGATCATATAGACTTGTTTTGATGTTTGTTGTGCGTCTTTTAAAACTAAGAGGTTAAACTGTAATGAGAGTACTGAGTTCGGGGAATTAAAAATGGAGTTTTCCTTTTCAGTCTGTTGTTAGCCTTTTAGATTGAAAAATGATTTTTTGCTGCTCTGGTCTATTCATTGTTGAGAATGCTTATCTGTTGTTCATCATGTTTCTTTATGGCAAAATCTTGCATTTGTTCCACAGATGAGTTACGAATGGCTGTGAAAAAGATTGAACTGTGTTGAGATTGCTAAGTTTGGGGAATCAAAATTGGAGTTTTTTTTCAGTCTGTTGTTAGCCTTTTAAGTGGGAAAATGTTTTTTTTTCTGCTCTGGTCTATTCATTGTTGAGAATGCTTATCTGTTGTCCAGCATATATTTGTAATGCGAGAACTTGCATTTGTTCCACAGATGAGTTACGAATGGCTGTGAAAGAGGTTATATGCAATGATCCCAAGGAAAGGGAGAAGTACAAAGAAGCTTTAGTGGCTATCACTGTTGATGAGTCTCTGAAACAGTGAGTCATAGAAATTTATTTACCCTTTCCCGTTTTATCAGCTAAACGACTATGTTTCTCTTAATCAACACATTAAACACATTTCTTCAGCTATTGCCAGCGGATTGGAAGACATGATTTCTGGGGAGGGGAGTCTGAGCTACTAGTGAGTTCCGACACCCATTGTAAACGCAGAACTGCCATCATAGAGAAACGTTCTAATGTCAATGTTTTGTTTTCAACAGGTTCTTTCTAAGCTATGTAAACAGCCAATCATTGTCTACATACCCGAGCATGAGGTAATGGTCCTTTGAGTTTGAGTCTTCAGTAGACAAGAAATTGGTGTTTCTTTTGTTCTAGTAAGTCAGGTCTCAATTATAGTCGGATCTTGAGTTATATTTGGTTTTGGTTATCCAGCACGTTAGAGGAGGGTATGCGTCGGGTTTTATACCGATCCAAGAGTATGGAGCTGAGTTTCGAGGAGGCTGGGGAAAAGGGAAGACGAACAAGAATGTTGTTAGGCTTCTTTACAGTGGTAGAAACCATTATGATTTGCTTCGTTGAACCAAATATATATATATATATTTTTTTGGACTAAGAACCAAATATATTTTTGCCTCATTTCTTACTTGAGAATTCCGTTGACTCTATTGATGTTGTTTCGAATTTTGTACCTTTAAACGTATGTGTATCGTCATCTCATCTCAATGACAGTCGTAATTTTAGAATTGAAAGTAAATTTGTTTCTTAAAAGCTCCACAGATAATTTTGATTTAACCAAAATCTCATGTATCGTTGTTATTAAAGAACAAAAATGTATTTGACGGCAAAAAGTTTAGAAAAGGAAAGAATAAAAATGTATTTATAAGAAAAAAAAACAGGGTCGTGGCATGTTCTTCCAAGCTTCTGAGCTCCGATCGCTCTTTCTCAAAACTCCGTCGTCGGGTCGATAAATTCGTCCCTTGTTCGATTCTCCCCTAAGAACAAACGTTGATTCCGATTTCTAAAGGTAAGTTTTCTTATTGATGATGCTCTTTTGATTTTCTTTCCAAAGGGGAGATTCCTTTAACGAAGATCTCAAAGTCGATTGAAGTAAAGAGATTGATGAACTTTGATTGCTCCCAGTTTCATTGTAAAACCAGATTAGTCTTCATACAATCTTATAGTTATCGCCTTATAGGACTGTGCATTGAAAAAACTCGTTCATTTGGAGACTGGTGTTTAGGAATCGGAGCCTAAGTTTCGAGTTTGATCGCAGCTAATCGTAAAATCCATAATTTCGAGGATCAAATTGCTGGGTTTTACATTATGAAGAGTTGTTTTGTGTCCATAAACTTAAAAGAGTTCTCTTTTAGCAAATTCGTTGCTACTTCATAGCCATGGATAATGTGCAATAGTGTTTTGGGGATTTAGCTTTGTGTTACCTTGTTTCCATATTTTGATTGATTGTGCGATAACCTAATTAATGACCCAGGTTTCTATTGATTGTTCCCCAGGTCCTGACTGAACAAGATGGCGAACGTGTCTGTTGCTGCGGAATGGCAGCTTCTCTATGATCGATATTACAGGAAGCCTGAGATATACCAAATGAGATGGAAACATGTAGATTTGAGCCGCAACAAAGTGGCGTGTGCCTCATTTGGTGGGCCAATTGCAGTCATTCGAGATGACTCGAAGATTGTCCAACTATATGCTGAATCTGCTCTAAGAAAGCTTCGGATCTTTAACTCAGCAGGTATACTTCTCTCTGAGACGATCTGGAAGCACCCCGGGGGACGCCTGATTGGAATGTCTTGGTCCGATGATCAGACACTAATTTGCATTGTCCAAGATGGCACCATTTATCGTTACAACATCCACGCTGAGCTCATCGAGCCCAATATGTCAATGGGCAAGGAGTGCTTTGAACAGAATGTGGTGGAGTGTGTCTTCTGGGGAAATGGTGTTGTCTGCTTGACAGAAGGAGGGCAGTTATTCTGTATCTCTGATTTCGAGATGATGAAGCCTTTTAAGTTGCCTGATGTCCCGGGGTTAACAGAAGACGATATGCTTCAGCCAACTTGCTTGGCTGTGAGAGAACCTGAGTACACGATGTCTGGGACTGTTGAGGTGTTGGTAGCAGTTGGTGATGAAATTTTTGGTGTGGAGGAGGACAGTGTCCAAACTTTTAGGGTTGATGAGCCTAGTTTTAAAGACTCTGAGACACAGAATGATGATTATGGAAATTTGATTGGACCGGTCCAGAAGATGATTGTATCGCCTAATGGAAAATTTCTAACACTCTTCACTCATGATGGCCGGATTGTTGTTGTTGAAATGGAAACAAAACAAATTGCTATTGACTACAGTTGTGAGGTATGCATCATGCCTCTTGAGGTGCTTGGTTCTTTCTTATGATGGAAATTGGTGGTTGTTTTGTGGTATGGTAACTTAACTATGTCTTTATTTGTATATTTTTCTAGTCAGCCCTTCCCCCAAAGCAAATGGCATGGTGTGGAATGGATACCGTGCTGCTCTATTGGGATGAGGATTTAACGATGGTGGGCCCTTTAGGAGATCCTGTTCACTATTTCTATGATGAACCTGTAATTCTTATCCCAGAATGCGATGGAGTGAGAATATTAACTAACACGAGCCTTGAATTCCTGCAAAGAGTACCTGATTCTACTGAGTCAATCTTTAAGATTGGAAGTACATCACCTGCAGCTTTGCTATATGATGCTTTGGATCACTTTGACAGGAGAAGTGCTAAGGTAGGTTTGTTAGCATATGCATCTTAATGGTTCTCTGTAGCAGATGTTTTATATTTTGTTGTGATTTCTCCATAGTCAATCTTTAGTGTCTCAGTTCTTCCTGCTGTTTCTAGTATTGGTATTGTCAGAATAATATATTTAGGTTTAGAATCAATATGGTGTTCTTACAGAAATGGAATGAGTTGAGAAAAATAGTTTGTAATTACTATTCCTAGATCTGGCTGATGAAGTTGATTTGCTCTTCGTCTGTCAGGCAGATGAAAATTTGAGATTAATTCGTTCATCGCTGTCTGAGGCTGTTGAATCCTGTATTGATGCTGCTGGCCATGAATTTGACGTGACTCGTCAGAGGGCTTTGTTACGAGCGGCAAGCTATGGACAAGCTTTTTGCAGGTTAGTCTAGAAGAATTGACTTACAGTAGTAATGTAATCTCTGAGACTAATTCTCGGCTCGCTGCAACAGTAATTTTCAGCGTGAGCGTGTCCAAGAGACTTGTAGAACTTTAAGGGTTCTAAATGCTGTTCGTGATCCTGATATTGGCATACCTCTTAGCATACAGCAGTACAAGGTATTTGCAATTTATTTGTTTTTCTTGTGAAAGAAACGTTTGCAACTACCATTTCCTCATTATATTTATTTGGCTTGCAGTTACTGACACCAGTAGTTTTGATTAGTCGCCTTATTAATGCTCATCACCACCTCCTTGCTCTGCGGATATCTGAGTACCTAGATATGAATAAAGTGAGTCAGAGATTATTTTATTTTTTCCGGTGAGACACTCCTTTACCAACAATATTTTCCAAGCCTTAGGGTGCATATGGTTCTCTGTTTCTGGCGTTATATAGGAAGTGGTGATAATGCATTGGGCAAGTGCAAAGATAACTGCTTCACCATCAACTCCAGATACTCATCTTCTTGAAATTTTACTTGATAAGGTTCAAATTCTAGTTTATATTAGTCTTTGCAAGATATATATAGAGATGGAGGAACTCATGGACTTAGAAAGATTGATGTCATTGAATTTCAGCTCCAACTATGCAGAGGAATATCTTATGCTGCAGTGGCAACTCATGCTGATAACTGTGGCCGTCGAAAGTTAGCTGCAATGCTAGTTGAACACGAACCACGCTCCACAAAACAGGTTTGTCTATTTAAGATGACCACCTCCCCATTAGGATTCTTAATGCAGAAGTAGGAGACATTCATATTTCGTGATCACTTTATGTAATTTCAGGTTCCTCTTTTATTAAGCATTGGGGAGGAAGACACTGCTTTAGTGAAAGCAACTGAGAGTGGTGACACCGACCTGGTTTATCTGGTCATATTTCATATATGGCAAAAGGTCTGTGACTGATTTATTAGTGATTTTATACTTTTAACTATAACTAACTGGTTTGCTAACAAACAAGAACTAACTGGTTTTAATCTGTGGGGGTTATCAGAGACCTCCTTTGGAATTCTTTGCGATGATCCAAGGCAGAGTTTTGGCACGTGATTTATTTGTAGCTTATTCACGGTAGGGAAACCTTCTATCTATCACGCTTGATTAATAAAAATACATCTTTTAAAACTTGGTTTAACCAAGCAGTTGTAGTCAAATATTATTTTGTAAGTATCTAACTGTGTCATGAAATTTTCTTGCTGTAGGTGTTACAAACATGAATTTCTGAAGGATTTCTTCTTATCTACGGGGCAGATTCATGTACGATTCCGTGATCAAGTTTTTCGTTGATTTATTCTGTTAGTTCAGAATTTAAGTTGGACCAGTTTGTTAAATGTTTTTATCCTGTAAACGCTGAAGTTGATGACCATCAAAGAAGTTCGTGTTGATCTTAATTTTTTTGTTGTTCCAGGAGGTAGCTTTTCTTTTATGGAAAGAATCATGGGATATGGGGAAAAACCCAATGGCTAGCAAAGGATCCCCGCTGTACGGTCCGCGCATCAAACTAATAGAAAAGGCCAGAAACCTTTTCTCTCAGGCAAAGGAACACACTTTTGAGTCTAAGGCTGCTGAGGAGCATGCAAAACTCTTGAAGTAATCTTTGCAAGCTAATATGCTATTGTTTCTAAGCAGCCTCCTGTTCTGGAAACTTTATTTTCAGTGTATTCTTTGCTCTTCATCTCATTGTCTTTTTTTGGTTACGTATTTTAGGATACAACATGAGCTAGAAGCTAGTACGAAGCAGGCTATTTTTGTTGATTCAAGCATCAATGATACTATACGCACATGTATTGTCCTGGGTAATAATCGTGCTGCAATAAAAGTGAAGACAGAATTCAAGGTCTAAGTGGATTTTTTTTCCCTGTTGTGCGATGGATGACTGTAAGACTGCCATCTTCACCACAATACTTTTTGAATTTTCAGGTCAGTGATAAAAGATGGTACTGGCTTAAAGCATTTGCTCTGGCTACAATCAAAGACTGGGCAGCGCTCGAAAAGTTTTCAAAAGAAAAGAGACCACCAATGGGTAATTTTACACAGCTTCTCTAACTGTTACAATGATCCCTTCTGTACTCAATCACATCATCTAGTAACGCTGATGTTAAGAGTTAAGAGTTAAGATTTAAGCTTGTAGGCAAATTCATTTTTGGTCTATCTCGTGTTTTAACTGTCATTTACATCATGAAGGGTTCCGTCCATTTGTGGAAGCATGCATTGATGCAGATGAGAAAGCAGAAGCTCTAAAATACATCCCCAAATTGTCAGATCTTGTGGAAAGAGGGGAGGTCTGTTCTGCATATAAAACATGTACTATTCAAATTTTATAAAAATCTATCAAACCCTTTAGTGTGAGTTTTGTGTTTTGTGGCATATCAGGCTTACGCTCGTATTGGAATGGCAAAGGAAGCAGCTGATGCAGCGGCTCAGGCAAATGATGGAGGAGAATTGCTGGAGAGATTCAGGAAGACATTTTCACAGAATGCTATTTTTGATACCTTGAAAATGCCTTTCC